TCAATAAACAAAGTAAATTAGTTCAATTTTTTCTCAGCAGAAGTTTGATTCATCGCGCAAGGATCATAACAAAATGTCGTTAATTTCCATAAATATTAAAATTGTTGTGTGTAATTTGCCGAGTGAAACTGGCTCAGATAACATAGACGGCAACTATTCCGCTAGGAAAATAGGTTTTACTTCCCTCTAATGAATCAATAACTTCAGCCTATGATTAAATAAGATAATGGCAAAGCAACATGAACATTCGTACTTTCGCTTAAAGCATTACACAGTTATATCAATTTAAATCATCATTATTGCTTTCCTAATCACGAACCTCTTCTCTCAAACGTTTGTTAGCCAAAATGCCGCCCAGAAGAATGTTCACGTGATCACTTCTAACTAATCCTCGATGTTTGTCACCTCTGCAATCAACACATTCCGTAATTTCCCGTTCGGAATTCGGCAAACGCTCGCCGAACCCTGTGAAGTGAGGATGGTTTGCGGTTAGCCGAAGGCCAAACAATTGGTGTTCGCCACACGCAACTACGAAAACGAACATTCGCCGAGCAGCCCGGCTGATTAGGCGAGCGGACGCTCCAGCCGCGCCGAATGTGAGGAGCCGAATGCTTCAAGCGAACGTCCCAGCCACGAGTGGTACTTTGCGTGTGGACGCGGAGCTGTGCCCGTCGGAGGGCGAGGGGCATCTGTCCATCCGCGCCGTCCACGTAGTTTGCGCACGCGCTCGCGTCCCCGGCGCGGCACGGGGCGGCGGGGCGGCGGGCGCGCTTTCTCTCGCGCGGGTGGCGTTATGTAAAAGCGGCGGCCAGGGAGGCGGGCGCTCGGCCAGGCGCCCCGCGAGCGCCACGCCGCTCTGCCACGCCCCTCGCGCTGCCCGGCTACCTCTGGGGACGGAGGAAATGGCACAGCTTGCCTTTTTGTTGAAACGCCTTTAAACTCGTCATCCTTCTCTTTCTATTTCCCTCTTTTTCTCTTCTCTTCTTCCTGTATACCTTATTATTTTCTTTATATATATATTTTATATATATATATATATAGAGAGAGAGAGAGAGAGAGAGAGAGATATCCTCATTACCTTATATATATATATATATATATATATATATATATATATATATATTCTTATATCCCTCATTACCGCAGCCCCTAATAAATTTTGTGGGTTATTTTGTTAGCAATTACTAGTCTTGGAACCCCCCATCTTGAATTTTCAAAGGCGTGTAATATTCTGTGGCCACATGTCTTCTGGGTAATTATTAAAATTAGAATGAAACAAGACGTTGAAATTTGACATGATAAGACTACGAGGATCAGATATTTAGGAGCCAATGGCGAGATATGGAATTGCTCTAGAAAGATTCTGAGGACGTTCTCGCTGGGGAAGTGAAACATCTTTTTCGCGCCACAAATGACAATCGAGTAGTGCTTTTCATACTGAACAATTCGCATTAAACTTGTTTAAAACTTGGTTTATTTATTAAGCTTACGAAAACTCTTAAAGTGTTCTGTTTCTGAACCGAAAATGGTTAGAAACTTCGCTTTCCAAGCTGTCCGCGCGAGCCTTTCGGAGCGACTTCGCAGCAGGCGGTCGCGCCATTTGTCGCAAGGAAAGCGGCGGAGAAAACTCGATGGTGGTGGCGGCGGAAGAGGGGGGGGGGTCGCAAGGCGAGGGCGCACGTAACGTGGAGGCGGTGGCGCGGGCGCTTCCTTTTACGGGCGCGCAACCAGCGCACCACCCCCCCTCCCGCACGCACCCCGTCCTCTCCAGGCTAGAATGGTGTTAAACAACCATTCGATAAGGGCGGACGATTTCAGAAGACAAAAACGATAACTAGAGAGGCAAACAAGCAGGCGGGTAAGAAGACAAGAAGTTTGCTTTGAACAGAAGTTTGTACAGAACAGAGGACCAGAAATCATTTGTTGTGATTGTCCTTAGTGGTCGGCGGTTATTGAGGGCTTTTTATGAGCATTTCAGCTTTACATGTTAGTTTGCACTATGTTTGTATAGTAGGACATAATTACAAAAAATCTAACCTTCTCTCTTTTATCTGTAACATCAATATTTTTAGCATGTGACGACATCGTTCTAGATGTTCCTTCTCTCATTACTCAGTCCAGCAAACCCCCGCCTTTCTTACTTGTTCTGCAAAATATCCGATCAGGCGTTAATTGAATTGGCGCATTTACACACATGTGAAACCTCGTTATATTAAAAAATAATTCTCTTTAGCAATCATAGTTCAAGCGTGAGATGAACTGAATGACGATTTTCAGAGGTTGAAGTGAAACGTTTCGAATTCGTGCTCATGGTTTTGCAGTCGGATGCAATTTGCCGGGTATATTTTGCGCCGATAAAAGATGTAGTTTTGGCACTGATGAAAGAATTAAAAAATGTTTAACGAACAACTCGCCATTATCAACATATTACATCGATGAACGTAACAGAACATACTACTAAATGTTTCGAATTATTAATATACGTTATTATTCATCATACAATAATAAATTCAACAATAATGTCAGTTAAAATGTTATGGGGGCAATCACGTAAAAAAATAAAGGTAAGCTAAGACAAGGAACAATTGCACGTTGTGAAGATGCATATATGATAGTCAGAGAGAGAGAGAGAGAGAGATAGAAGGCAGAAGAAAAAAAGAAGAAAGCCAGTATAGTAAGAGGAAATAATAATCTGATGAAAATGTTAAGAGGGAAGAGAAAAAGTAGAAAGAGTAAAAGGTAAGAAATAAAATAAATGAAACTGTAATAAACGGTAAGGAAAATTAACAGACACGGGAGGAGACGTAAGTGAAATATTAAATAACAATATATATGTCAATTCATGAGCAATTTAAAAAATGGACATAGGTCTGGGAATACCACTAGCTGGCAAACGTCCAATTAATCCGACCCTAAAATGCCAAGATACATGATTATACACATGAACATTTATGAAATGCATACGTACTGAAGAATAAAACTGAAAAAAGTCTTTACTAGACAGCGTTTTACTGGAAATTAGGGTCGAGTGTCTCATTAATCTCCATCGTTCGAGATTTTCGTGACTTACTCAAAGCAGTTACAAGACTTAATATTAACGGTCTCACAGAAAAATTGCAATAACTGAAATTATTTCAATACATTATTGCTTTTCATTTAAACCTAGACTTGAAATGAATTTGAATATTTTTGTGAACTTGTATAAATATTTTTCAATTTTATTTTCTATTTTGTTAGGATAATGTAAGTTGAATGACTGCAATGTGCCATTGCAAAACATTTTCTATTGCAGAGAAGTTCTGAACCTCTTTTATTACGCATATACGCAAAATCATTAATTTTTATAATGCAACACCAGATTTTGCAACTCCATACATTATGCGACCTCTAGCAGGCACCGGCAAATTTTACCGTCGTTTACCTAGCGACCTGTAAAGCGCATCCCTTAACTACAGTTGGCGCTTGACACACCGCGTTGCATTCGGTTTGCATTTGAGGCGGTGATGTGCCGCGTCGCGACGTGCAAATGGCGTGTCAGGCGAGCGCATCACCTCCGCGCATGTGCCGTGCAGATACGAAAGATCAAGGTAATGCTGCGCGAGTAAACAAATTAAGCGCCGGTTTAACGAGGCCCGTCGCCGTTTATGAGGCCATGAGAGGCGCGTTTCCGTTGAGGTGCACAAGAGGCCTTGCCGCGCGGGACGTCTTTTTGATAACAACTGACCTCCCGGTTGAAGCGTTTCTGCAGCCAAGCGTTTTTGGTGGAGGAAAGACGTGCAAGACTAGTGGAAAAATCCTGAAATATTTGAAATGGTTTTCTTACAAACTGGAACACTAATAAGATTTAATAATAATAATAATAATAATAATAATAATAATAATAAATTTACCTAAATATCATTAACTCAAGAAAGTCAGTATATGAACCTTGCGTCATATTATAAATTTGTGTCTATTCAATCTATTTTAAAAAAATCCATGGTATTAAAAAGTAAGGCACCTAATAATACACATAAATTCTTAAATAATGTCAATCAATTTTGACTTAAGTTAACATTACAATATTACAACGACATTTTCGTAATATTCAAGTAAATTTCGAGATGGACCCGACAGCGTAAACTGTATTTCATCAATGATAAAAAACGAGAGAGAGTTGAGTGAGCAAGTACGGTATTATGAGTTTGGACCAGATTTCGGGTCATCTAATTCAGTTAGAAAAGTACAATATGTATTGAATTTAAAATAATGATAATTTGTGTGTATTTATGTCACACTTTAAATTGTATCACCTCTGAAAAATAATGAACTTTGAATGGCTACGCGTGTGCTTTCAGTTTCTTATTACAAAACATTTGTTGTCAAAATTGTTTCAGATTGATTGATTGATTAACGATTACGGGCGCGTCAGCTAAGATTATTAGTTCCGTAATAATTGCGTGTTTTTTGCCTCTGGAGGAGGCGGATATCTTCCTCCGTTAGATTGTGAGATCAGGCGTTGACCTATCACCGGCTAATGGGGTTTCCCGAACCGGGTATCTCTCACCAGCGGAGCATTTCCCCAATCCGAACAAGCTCTAAGTTCCACACAGGACTCAGGCACGTGTGTTTTTGTAGTGAGCGTAAGGAATGACGTCAGAACAAGAGAAGGGAAGGAAAGGTCACGCGACCTGCAGATCAGAGCAGCCGGCGATATAATTCTCCTCCGGACAGCGTCTGAACTCGACCTAGCTATCTAGCCAGTGTCTAAAGTCCTGTCAGCTTTGGGACTCGAACCTAGATAAGAGGCACCGCAAAATTGGTTCAGAAGTTTCAGTCATTTCATCATATGAATAGCAGAAAGATCTCGTACGGTGTTATCCACGAGGACACATCTTCCCTCGCACATTAGCGGAACCGGTTATAGCAAAGAAGCAGGTGGAGCTTTGAGAAACGTCATCGCACGGCGAGGCACACGACGTGGGTTGTCGTTTGCGGGGCAAGGTCGCGGTGGGACTCACAGTTGAGGTCGGCGAGCGTCTGCAGAGCGGTGGCGGCGGAGGTGGGCTGCTTGGCGCGCTTGGCCGTCGCCAGCACCTCGCTCACGGAGATCTTGATGGGCGAGGGCTTGGTGACGGTGTCCAGGCGGATGGTGTTGGCCACCTTGGACCAGTCGATGTCCTGCGCGTCCTTGCCGCGCGACACGCCCAGCAGCTCCTCCCTAAGTACACACGCACGGCGTTCAACGCGCGTTCAACGCGCGCTCAACGCGCGCTCAACGCACGCGCCACCTGCGCAGCCACTGGCTCACTGCGCGCAAGCCACATTTAAGACCCTCCTTGTATTTTAGTGGTTTAAGAAAAAAGTGACGATTCGCCAGCTTTTAATGTATTTGGTTGCAAGTGATTAACAATGCTTATAACGGGAGATCTTTACTTTCTATGATTTAATGTTTTAATATTTATACCGTTCTGCAGTTATAAAGACTAAACGCTGAATTTAATAACATTTTTCACATATTCGACGAAATTTTAAATTTGCTTCCTAGTATAATTTCACTTCCTTCACGAAGGAAAACAAGAGAGACTTGCATAAGAAACATAGAAGGAAAACTTTTGTTGTTGCAGCAGACAATAAACTTACTTGGATATATTCCCTTTTAGAAAAGAAGAAAATTATATTCGGCATTTTGGGTTTTTATTCTCCTTACATCCCATATTATTGTTTTTTTCTGTTATTTATAAACATTTTAAGATTTTTGAAAATTATACCTATCAATATTTTTGCTTTAAAAGACACGAAAAAGACAATCTTACGATAGTCATTCACAACGACTACCAAATCGAAATTGCTTATACTACTGGTTCGTTTCTAATATTTCTCCGTCCTATATTCACGTCGGATAAACCACTTAACGAAATTATAAAACTAATGAATGAAAATAATTGCATTTTACTACGCCGTGCAACGCGCTGGTCTGACCCTGTCAGCGAACGCTGACCGGTGCGCGGGCGGAGGCGCCGTACCTCATGGCGCCGATGAGCGGGTACTTGACGCCCGAGCCGCACACGCTGCCGGTAAAGTCGTCCATGTCGACGGTCCACACCATGGCGCCGCCGAAGCCCTGCGCCTTCAGCCACTTCATCTTGTTGCGGATGGAGCGCTCGTCGTCGAAGCCTATCCACTGGTCGCCGTGCACCACATACGGCACCTGCATTTCCTCGTCCCACACGTAGGACGCGCCGTTGCGCAGCATCTCGCACACCTGCGACACGCGCACAGGAGGGCCCCTTCAGAGCGAGGGGCTGGTGCACTGGGCACGTCCACTGTTATGGTCATTTAGTGTAGTGAATGTCTTATACCGAGAGGACGTGGTGAGCCCTCCCTAGTCAAATGATGAGATCTGCTGTAGATGGAATCCGAAATATGGCTAATGTTATGAGCAGTCAGTTAGTGCGCACCTTAGCAAGGTGGCGGGGATTAAAAATAAAACAAATCATTTCCAATATCCCCCGACCAATGTTAGCATCACCCATTGAGAACTGGCCATTCTAAGGTAAGGTTGAAGTGTGACTCATCGTACGAATTAGTTCAGAATACAAATTCGTTTTAAAATGAAGCGTTATACGTACTCAGAATTGCTTTCTGCTAATTGCAATCGCATGAAGGCGACGAAGTCAGAAGTTACACTTAAAATCTGTTCTTCAAATATTTTCATGTTCCTTTTTGCGTTCGTATGCTTCCGCAGCCGGAGTCAATACATTCTTGGCTATCCGGGATGAGCCGCGTCTCGGAGCTATACTGCTACACTGCTATAGCTCTGAAGAAGGCCACAGCAAGATGGCCGAAACATCAGCACAATTGACCGAGACGCGGCTCATCCCAGATAGCCAAGAATGCAATGTTCCTTTTTGTTATTTTTTCTCCGTGTTATCTTTTGAGAAATCAAATTACATTCACAGTTACTATAATGCAGCAACTAACTTTTAAGTTCATTTTACGACTTATTCAAACATATCATCCAAAGAGTTAAGAAAACGAGAAAACAGTTATGAGAATTATAAAATTAATAAGCAAAACGGCAATACACTGTTTTATTCGACATAGCTCCGGATAGGGTGGCTGGAGAGTTTCTCCGTTTCCGGTTATGGATATTACTTTTAGAGTAGAATTAAAATATGACATAATCTATTCACTTACACTCGTCATATTTTGAAAGACAAATGTAATTTTAGCTTCCGGAACAGACTAATTTTTATCTCAGAACAATTTACTGATACCATCATTTTTCAGAGTACCAAATACGTCAAATTTTTATCTTCCGCAATATAACTAGAAACCCAGATTCATGATGTTTACATCCTGTTACCTTCTTTTTTGTATATCTAAAGCTGACATCGCCTTATGAGCGAAATGCAGATTTTTATCTAAATAGTACCTTTTATCTTGTCATGAAACTCTTAGTCATACTGAAGTAAGATACTGTAACCTAAAATTTTGAAAATGATCTTCAAGGTATTGTTTCACAAAAAATAAAAGTGAATTAAAACAGAACAATGTTTCCTGTCGTATCGAATTCACTCTTAGCATCGTAATGCTTTAGGTCACGGTGGTCTAGGGAAACAAGTGACTTGTGTCCATAGTTTGTGTATGTTTGCCTCTTGAATCTGTTGTGTAGATACATTTTATTTTATTCCACTCGTTATCTAAACTTTAACTTTGGAAATGTATTATTAAAAAAATAATTATTCGATTTGAAAAAATAGTTCTAGTGAGAATCAAACCCAACCACCATCTATCATGAGGAAATAGGGTTCTATTTGGGGGAAATAGGGTTTGTATTTAAAAGTCGTAAAGATTAAAATGAAAAGAAAAATACGCTTTGCTTGTTGGGGACAAGAAAACTCTTTACTTAAATCAATTTGATTGATTGTGAAGGAAAGGCAATAATTCACTACATTTTACAGCATGTTGACAATGTAAAAAGTATTTTAAACGTAAAAAACAACAATTTAAAACGCATCACAACACTAGATAGTGTATATTTCTCCTCGAACAACAGTACGCACGTATTTAAAAAGGAGTTTCGTAATACTAGTATTTGATGTGTTTATTTATGTATTATGTATTATGTATATGTATTTAGCTAAAAGAAACATTGTAAAAAAAACTGTAAAAGAAAGTAATTGTAGCCAATCAGTACCATGTAATGGAATTGAAAAAAATGTGACTCTTAACCAATTCCATAACAAATAAAGCATGATTGTGTATGTACTAAAAAGAAAAGAATCACCTACCGAAAAAATGCAGAAAACTACCTACAAAATAATATAAATCTAGTCCTTGGGAAAGGAAGCACAACTGCGGTGGTTGCAGCAAAGAAAAAAATAGCAAAGTGAAAATGTGACTTTGACAAAGTGAAGTTAGTAGCTAAATAGATAATGCAATGGATGAAATTAATGAATGGGTCGATTAAATTTATGTGTATGTTTCATAGTTACATATTAGAGGGCATTGGAAATAATTCTGGAGCATTAGTTTTTTACCATAGCAGTTTTAAATGGTTAGTTTTTACTTTTTGGCTACAGAGTAGAGAAAAAATGTTATGAAATGCTGCGCAAAAAACGGCGAATTTTCGGCAAGAAAAACTCTTTATTGGGGGGCCCTGATAACGAAAAAGTTTATAAGTTCAGTTGCTAAATTGAGAAGGAAAAATTCTCTAATACGTGTTGTTATCAGAATCTGTGTTTTGTGATTCCTTGTTACCAAAAAATCGATTGACGGCAAAAACGTCTGTCCGTCTGTCCGTCCGTCTGTAAACAACGCTAGTGATTAAACTATTCAGTCTATTTCCTCCAAAATTGATGTTCCCCAATCGATCAGGCTCATGTAATGGCCTCTTGAATTTGAACTTGATATTTTAATTTTAGGGTGTAGTTTACATGATGTCTATGGAACATTTTCAAAAATTTCAAAATAATGGCGCCATCGTTTTTGATAAAATTTGTTGTTGGATTGTCTGAAGAACGTTTAATAGGATGGTGCAGGGCTCACGTTCGTTAAAAAACGTATTTTCAGATAATTGCAAAAGTCAAAACTTTTTTCGGGCTCTTCCTACAAAAAATCTGTTCCCGAAACATTCATTTTGAAATAAGGTCACGTACAATTTTTCGAACCTTCAGTAGTTTTCGCGTAATTTTGCGTGAAAATATGGGCGAAAAAGTACGTGCTGATTTAGCACCTGTAGTTTTCTGCAGTTAAACATTTGGGCAGACGTGAAATACTAAGGGTATTATAATTGCTGTTAACAAAGTTAATGCTGAATTCCGCCCCTCAGATGGCTCATAGTCAGCGTGCTAGCTTTCCGTAGTTCAATCTTCGGATCGATTCCTAGTCGAGACAAAAACAAAGATGTAGCTTTCCATTACAATCACCACGTCATGCCATGTAATTTTTATTCCCCCAAGTGATGATAATAAATAAAAAAGCCTGGGAACACCGTTGGTAAAGGCGGGTTAATTTGACCCCAAATTGCTAAATGCAAACAGATCTGAATTCCCAAAAGTGCCACTCACCTCGTAGTAAGCCAGGAAGCCGCCCTCCTTGGTGTACTCGCCGGCCTTTCCGCCGCCGCTGGCGGGGGCGTTGACCTTAAAGTTGGCGGGGTTGCTCAGGGTGAAGGTGCGGCCGTAGGTGGGCATGCCGATCACGAGTTTCTGCGAACACGCGAGCGCACCGTGCGCGTTACACGCATGCCTCGCCACGCCACGCCACGCCACGCGCGCGGCGAGCACGCGTGCGCTTCGCCACACTGCCCTTTCTCTCCGCACCGAAGCAAGCCGCAGCTCCCCGCCCAAGCGCTGCTGACAAGCCTGTACAACTAATATGTTTTCCTGTTGGAGGAGGGGTTATTTCCCCCTCCTAACTGGGGCATAAATGTCTGTACGACTAATATGATTTGGTGCTTAGGTAGGGGTTATTTCTGTTGCTGGTGAGCGTGTATGCTTCGAGTGAAGTTTCAGCGGGAGGGCGAAAGTTCTTATATGGTTGGTAAGATTTACTAGCTCTGTTGCCGTAACTGTTGTTGCCTACTTCGATTCAATTGCGATTTTCTTGAAGAACTTTCAATGAGGAAATGAGATGTACGTACCTTCAGAACATTACTTACGAAAAATACGCATAATGTAATCCATATTACAAGGTGTAACATTTAAAGTATAGGAGGTTTCGATTTTTATCTGATTGTCTTATTTTCTACGTAATTTTGGTTACGTCACCAATCAACTGCTTCAAAACCTATTTGGAAATCTTAAAGTGCACAGAAATTATTTGGCATTCTAACAATTATTGAATTGTCATTTAATGAGAATATATTTTGTTGAGATGAACTGATTAGCACAAACTGACATCGGACGTGAAAATAGTTTATGATCCTGCGCACCAGGGCTCCTCCAATGGGCTGCTCAATCACCGAGTCCTGGCCCAGCGCCTATCTGTGGCCAACTGCCGTCTGGCTCGCTGCTTGCGTGTGGAGCCCATCGACTCCAATCTAGAGAAAGGCGAGTGGGCCACTGTAGTGGATCACCGCTGGCAGTCTAGCTCGAAATCTTACACAATTGTATAACTTTAGCTGAAATCGTAGCATCTCTGCTCTACACAACGCGCTTATCACATTACAACACTTTGTAGAAGAAATTGTCAGCAATTGTGAAATTGACTGCCAATGCTTCTGTTCGAGGATAATCGAAAAACAAGAGTTCGTGAATGGATTGCATTTATATTAGTGTCAATACATGCTATGAAAGATATTATACGAATATAAGCCGACATCAGGAGTAATTATATTCCTCCTAAATCATTACAAAGAAATTATAACTTAAAGTGTAGAGCTTCAGGTATGGGTTTCTTTTTAATTAGTAATACTAAAAATCAAACCTACATTTCGTTTACCGATACAAATAAGTTAACTCAAGAGTGAAAATATATAATTTACGAATGTCACTAATACTGCTTTTTTGTAACTCATAATTAAACTATTTATGATTAAAAGATGAGGAAGGAATTCCTGAGATGAAGAGATCATGCACAGATTTTACTTGATTCACTATATAACATACAGTTTATATTCAAAATAATTCAAATAATAAATCAAAGAATAATAAAATAAATTAAGTAAATAATTATTTTTGGATTGTTAATCATTGTTTATGAGGTTTGTTTACGACATTACATGTAGTTAATCCATTCATGAACGTCCCTTGCAAGACACCAACTTCTTGATTCCAGTGAAGACCACGCTTATTGAAGATAACGTCCCCGTACAGAGCGCGATGCGAGGGTGGCATTCACCTCCCTTTCCTTTGATTAGCCCCTCATGGCCCGTGATTCTTTTCTAACTTTCAATTCCATACAGAATTACCCTTCCATCAATCGTCACATCGCCCAACTCCCCAACAACTTGTATTCAAAAATATCCTCAATAAATCAAATAGCTTACTGCGACCTAGCCCCAATCAATAGCGTTACGAACACAACTGGAAATAGACATTCTCACATTTCCTTCCCCAAAATACATTCACTGACGTCAACGACGCTTGAGTACTCAATGAGCCTCCTAACCAATGCAGTGGTTAGAATATATTTAGCTTTAGATACTTAAGGTAAATCACGAGAATTCATGCGAAGAAGTGAAGGTTAGTGAACCGACCTCCTTGGGCGCCCCCAGCTTCACCCACATGCCGGCGGCGTGGTCGACGCTGAGCTGCTTGCGCCACTCCGAGTCGGAGGAGGGCGCGTAGAGCGGCGCGTTGTGGCCCGTCTCGCGCTCCCACTTGCCGTGGAAGTCGTACGCCATCAGGTTGATGAAGTCCAGGTAGGAGGCGACGGCCGGCACGTCGTAGCCGCCGCGCACGTTGTCCGGCCCCACGGGCACCGCCGCCGTCAGCAGCAGGCGCGGCTTCTTCACCTCCTGCGCCTCGGCCTCGAACGCCTCGCGCAGCTCTGCGCACAAACCGGTCAATGGGTCAATGGACGAATGAATGAATGATTCAGAAAGAATGAATTCATGAACGAACCAATACATCAAGTAACAGTCGGGATGGGTACGTACTCGTATTTCGAAGAATGAAATAATGAACTAAGGAATGGATTGATTAATGACGAAATGAATGGATGTACCTGTACAACAGAGGACTAAGCCTTCAAAAATTAAACTAGTGATGCTAAATATCACATACTTTTTCGCATTATTTGTAACTGCTCACATCATTTCAAGAACATCAATCAGGCAAGCAAGGATAATTTCACATACATATTGAACATTCAGAACTAAAGGTAAAGCAATATATCGCATTACGAATGAATTCGAAACGACGATATCATTATCTTACGAATATCTATATATACATTCTTCCCGAATTTAAAAGATGTTGAATATATCATTTTATTCAACGTTCAGAAGATTGTAACACTAACGTTAAGTCAAGGAAACCGCCTAATCTTATCGTTCCAATCATGTCACCTTTCAACAACTAACTTCTCAAGTATCCATTGTTTCCCGAGAGAGCGTCATATATAATGAAACTAATACAAATTTATGATTCTCAATTTTTTCAATTTTTCTTTCGTGATACATTTAAATCAAATTTTAATAGAGAAAAACTAATCGAGCTAATTTCAATTTAGGTGTGTGGATTGTTTAAAAATACGTTAATATATTGAGGAAAACAAATTTAGAATAGAGTAAAAATAAATTTAATATTAGGGTTTTCAACAGTAAATAATAATTTCTCCGAAGATTTTTCTGAAGGACTGAAGTTGGCGAGTGGTCGACAGCGTGTTTAATGTATTTTATTAAAGTCCACCAAAAATTTCACAGAAACTACAATTTTTTCATGTAGATGTACATGACCTTTTAATGCGCTGATTTTTTAAAAATATTTGTATAAGACAAAAACCTCTACTTTCCATTTTGTAGTTTCCAAATGTTAAGTTTTTACAGCTTTCGAAAATACGGAGAGTTCAATAAAAATGAGATTTGCACGACTTTTTAAGGATCCCTTTCTAGCGTCTCTTTTGCGACTTTGTGGAAGGTAAAAATATCTGTCTTCAATTTTGTAGTTTTGAATAGTTAAATTTTTGCAATTAAAAAAAACAGAGAGTCAAATATGGGACTAGCATAATGTTTTTTGTCGTCCCTTTTTACGTAGTCCAAATTACATAAATTTTAAGAAGCCTAATTTATACTTTTTGTCAGATCCTATGAAACTTCTTCACTGTTCAATTGTCACATGAATATCCATTTGCTACGAATCCAAGCTTTGTAAGATATTTTTAGTCTCCAAATTGTTCTCATCAATTTTTATCACCAAATTGTTATTATGTTGCAAATTTTCACTGGTATACATAGCACGTCTAATCGTTGTTAAAGGTGTGATTATTTTCCTCACAACTGGAATATAACAATTCATCTTAGCTGCATATGCCACGTCAACATTGGTGCAGACAAACCTCCGTTTACTTTACACCTTATCTCCGTCCGCCTTAACCATCAGCATATAGCAGCTTGGCATGTCTTTAGAGAGGAGATTCGAACCGCAACGATAATAACACCTTAATTTCAGCTTATAGGCTAAGCAAACAAACTAACCAGCTCAATCGAACCTAATCCCGCCATTCTCACCTCGAGAGGGGAAACCGGCGAAGCGCTCTCAACAATGCTTCCTCGTTTGCCGCTCCTCCGCTTTACGAGCTGCGAATGATGAGGAAGCGGTCCCGCGCCCATACACTCGCGGTGTTTCCGCATTTGGCCGCAGCGGTGCCTCTTGCGCAACCGGCGACCTTTACGCACGGCGCTAACGAGTCGGCAACGGCCCAGGCAAGCGACGGGCCTCAGGGAGGCGCTTTGCTTACGTCTTTTCAATTATACCAAGAAGAAATAAGATTTTACTTTATCCCCTGAATATGTAAGTACTAAAGATCGTGCGGAGAAATTCTGTGATTTTCCGACAGAAAAAGCTCTATTGCCGGGCTCTGATAACGAAAAAATGAAGATTTTTTTCTCATATGATACAAATTTCTTCCTCTAAAAGGCTCTGTATTCAGAATCTATGTTTTGGACATTCTTGATACCAAAATATCAATTGATGGCAAAACGGTCTGTCCGTGAGTGGTCAACACAAGAGCCTAAATCATTCAGACGATTTTCTTCCAAACTTACATTCTCCTATCAATCTGAACGAACTCGAAGCACTGCAAGTTTGAAATTTATATTTCGATTTTTGGAGGTATTTCACTTGAAGCCTCAACAGTATTTTCAAAATTTTCTCAAAAAATGGCTCCATTTTTTACATTTAATTTTGTCCTCGGATAGCTTAAAAACGCTTAAAAGAATGGTTGAACTATCTCAAGTTTAGAAAACTGCTTAAAGTTTGTAATAACACTAGAAATTATTTGCTGTTGGAGTGCAATTTTGTATTCGAATATGTGTAACAAAATCTAATCTTGAGGCTGTTGCAAATAAGTTTTGTATTCCAAATAGCAGCATGCGTTGCCCGGACTTTTAGCAAAATTATCATCATAAACTCTACCATACACACCGTTGGTATCTTCATAGTTTATTCACTACGTGATGTAAAAAAGACGTGTAGCGCTTTGAAGCTCAAGCAGACGTGCCCAATTTATTCTTCTCCCTCCATGTCACATATAGGTAATGTTTACTTCTTTTTGGCGATAATAAAATAAAATAAAATTATTAGCATTGAAAAGAAACATTCGAAAATGTCAAGTCAGCATCTTTATGTTTTACAGAAAATTATACATTTTGAGTTTTCCGAAATATTTAAATATTTTTACGTTAAAACATTTACATTTAGATTATGAAATAACATCGAGAGACCTCAGCAGTAATTAGAGTCAATTCTTCATTAATGTTTAGTTATTTGACAAAAAATGCGTGTCCTTTCACGATTATGTTTAAAAAACTATTATATACACACACACACACACACACACACATATATATATATATATATATATATATATATATATATATATATATATATATATATGCAACTGATCGTAAAACAGGAGCCCCGAGTTCGAATCCCTGTCGGGGTGACAATTCTTTGCAAAAAATTAATTATTAAAATAATAACGGTTATGTTTAGTTTATAAAAAATTTACTGAACAATGCAGATGAAAGATCCCACGAAAGCGTCCGTAGTGAGAAGTGGGGAGTATTCAGTGTACAATGTGGGATCAGCAGCGTAAAATACGTCAGGATAAGAACTCAACACGGTGGTTTCCCTTTTTGCAGATCTTCGTCGTTAATGAGCCTGCATGTACATAATTATTCACATGAAATTCCATTTATTAAGGTCATATTCACTTATTTAGAAACAGCTTTCTGCATCGTATATCATTCCTGACACCTCACAAATACCTGAAAACCTCACAATTTTCCTGAATTAACTTTTCCAAGAATACAACTTCCAAGAAAAGAGACGGAATGGCCCATAAAATTAACCAACATGAGACTATCATACAATTTTGGTCAATGAGGTACGACAGTGTATTTTCCCCGAGAATTGCAATCATTGTGTGCTTTAATTTCTATTTAACATTTTAACTGTTAATGCTATACATGTATAACAAAGGGTGAATTAGGTTTTTGTCTCTTGCTATAAACACTCTACCACATCTTTGCCATAAGCACTGGGAGGATTTTGATGACCCAAAATTTCACCAAAAACATAAATAAAATTCTCTTAAAATATTTTTAAAATGCTCTAAATGCAAAGTAAAATGTCAAAAATTTGATCAAATGCAGATCAGATGAACAAATCAATCAGTTGGGTATGTTATTGATGTAATCGAGGCTTCTTCCCGCCGTTCAACTGAACTCATCTTGCAAACTTTTGGTTTGTACTGGACCAGGAAATCTCTGTTTTTAGTTATCGTCAAACCTACCTGACAATAGGGTTGATAGGCGTCACAGGAACCGTAAATTACTTACAGCGCTTGGCATTACAACTTTTAAGCAAAGAAATCGAACAAACTACTCAGAAATGTTATGGAGAACATTTTTTGCATCTCGTAAATACTATTTGAAGCAAGAACCATTAAAATGATATTAAAAGCAAAGGAATCCGCGAAAAATGATTTAAAAATTACAAAAAAATTAGATATTAGTCAAAATCGAAGAAAAATGCAAAAGTGTCATATAAAAATGGATCATTTTATTTTGTCATAACATCAAATGAATGTCCATACTGAAAGGCATTGTGCCAAAGTGAAAAGAAAAAATGACATTGAATTAAAATAAGTACGCATGCTTCTTTGTGTAGTTGCGTTTATCAAGGTTGGACGTTTAGAATTAAAGCATCAACACATTAATACACAAATATGAGTGCACACTCAAGCATTAATTAAACTTGTTTTGTTGCTACCTTTCCCGGTCACTGCTAGATTCGGCCCCTTCTTCTCTAAGTCCGTCTGAACGAGTCAAAACACTTGAGCATATTTAGGACTGGCCTCAATTGAGTTTTTAGGGTATGTCTTGCCCTACTTTAAGTCACTTCTCAACTTATCACGTTTATGAACATATTGGCATGGGTTGCATATTCATAAGCATACTTTCCCGACGTTGTGTAGAAACTCTGGAACAGTATATAAGACTTTGCAAAGTGTTCCCTGAGCAGCCAAGACAGACATTGCCTTGTCTGTGAACAGTTTTGAAAGAGGCCGTGATCTTTAAAAATTTATTCTGTAAGACTTCAAGCAATTACTGAAACTTAATGCACAGAGAAAAACATATTTTGGTGAACCCATTACTGCTTTCATTGAAAATATAACTGAACAGTTATAAACTGCTCCCACTTTAAGAACAACTCATTTCATTGACGTCAGTTAATTAATTTTCTCGTGCTCTCAGGATATTCTGGATATTCTTTAACATCTCTCTGGTTATTTTTTAACATGAGCGACATTTGATATGGACTTTTGACTTCAACGTTTAATAAAGGTAGTGAACTAATAAACTAAATCTTGCAAAGTAATTGATGTCATAAATGGCACAAATGACTCCGGTATTAATGCAGCCCAATGATTGTGAAATGCAACCCAGCAGAGAGCATAGGTTCTTCATCTCGTGACAGTGATGTAAACGATGACATAACAGTAATTCAAAGACAACTTACTCCTAACCTAATATTCATATAAATAATTATTTACAATTTTGTAAAGGTGAAAAATTAGTTCTTAATACTTATTAATGAGGGAACGTTTCCAAACATCTCATCAAACATTCGGCACATGGTTATGAATTTAGTAACTAATTAAGTACTTCAAATATCACATTATTTTTCAATATCTTGTTCTCTCTTTATACAATTGTAATAAAAATTGAACTTGTCCAAAAGAACAATGAAACTTATTTGGTATTGGTATGGACATTATGATTAAAACGGCATATTTGCTTTTATAATAACAGAAACGTGAAATTACTCTAATAACATTGAATATAATAGAAAAAATTCAGTGGAGAAAACAGATTTGCTTTTTTCACAGTGTACATTTGGTATTAAACGAGTATCATGCATTAGTTACAATATATCTTAAATAATAATGGAAAAACAAACTCACAAAATATAATACAATATAGAGTTTTGCTCAAAGCCATTCGTATATTTTCACTTTCTCACTTTTTCAGAAATTGTAAACGCGCAGCTTTTTTACTCTTAACACACTGTATGTTCACGTTAGGATCACAGAAAAAGGTAGACATTCGACTTTTGAATCCGTTCTACTTTTTGCAGTGTTAGAAAATTTTTCTTTTAAAGAAAATCGTTTTACATGGACAACGCCCTAAAGTTTTCCATTTGCCAACAAGGCTTCCAAAGATTACAATTAATATTGGAAAATGCAAGATTTTTATCGAATTGCGAACCCATAAAACGTTTCGTATTTTTTGTCATTCGAAATATTAAAAACCGCTAGGAAATTTTTTAATTGAAATCATTTATTTAATCATAATATACGTATGTTCCTTGCAAATATAAACAATATGGCACAATACAAGAAAACATGCTTTCAGACCATTACATTCAATTTAGGTTACGGCAGGTAAGAATAGTACGAATAGTTAAAATTTAGTAGTTCCCATTTTGTACGGCTGTTTGCTACATATACACAAAAATGTATATAAAGTATCACCCATAAGCTGTTCTTCAGGGTTTTTCTCTAACAAGATTATTTTCAATTAGGTCCGAAAATTCCGTCCCACAATCTACAACTACGAGTACATTGGATACTTCCCCGGATTTGCTTTCCACTTCTATATTTTTGTCCCCTAATTTTTGAAAAGGTTAAAACTTCACAAATTCAGTCTAATTTGTATTAACTGACATTTCTTCAATTTCTCTATTAATCCTTTTGTACGCGCACTTAAACAGTAAAATACTACCTTTTGGATGTTATTGTGAATAAGTGTTAGTTACGTATTAATAAGAATAAGTTGTTTCTCACATTCATTTAAAAATCGATATTTGCCCGCTTAAGAATGTAAATGTGAGAAGTGGTACGTTAGAACGTACATGTGATTCTGTAGCAATACTGTTTTTCTCCGTACTTACCTGAAGTTCTTGAAGTTCAATAATTTTGAAGGCAATAGTGTTCGCAGGTTTTTGCAAATGTATTTTTTAAAATACGTTAATACGGATGCAAATTAAATGAAATCTCCCGCGTGGCGATTAATTTGTCGCATTCAACATAACTTACATACACCTATATGGGTGGCGTTGGTTTAATTCCCGGCATACTCACTAAGATGGCAGCGCTAAAATATGCAAAAACACGTTTTGGAATTTTTTTAATCTTCGGGTCAGATCTCAAAGCAAATTATCAGTTCCCCACTAGGAGACCGAGACGCGCCGATTGACACCTTATGCGGTTCGATTGGTGCTCAGGAAATGGTTTATCGTGGGTGACGGATCCGCACTCACGCACAGTCACAGTTTCTCAAATACTGTACAGGGATTATTATTTTTTTCTCAAAATACAGAGAAAAGTAAATCTGTTATAATATATATTTGAAGATCAACAAAACGAAATGTCTAAATATTTTTTAAAAGTTGTACCAACATTGTGGGTAGTTGACCCCCCCTTTCCCCACCCCCCTGAAACCCGCCTCTGCATTCACATGCACACACGCAGGCGCTGGCCTCACGCGCCTTGCGCTCTCCCTGGCGGCGGCGCCGGCGCGCGTCGGTGCGTCCGTGGGTTGCGCCAGGGGCGCACCGCGCGGCCGCGTGAGGAAACGCCGTGACGCAACACCATACAGGTCGCCGCGCACGCTCGCTCACGCGCGCGCTTTTTCTTTCTCCCCGAAAGAGGAGGGGCAGGGCGGGTCTGTCCGTGCGTTTCCTTGCGGTTGCACCAACACCCGTGCAAAAAAGGCGCAAGATGCTACTGGGCAGGACGTACTGAGAAGGTTGAGCCGCCAGAAAAATGAGGGACATCAACTGATAAAATTTGAGTCTGGACGCAATTCATAATACGAAGGGTTCGAGTGTAAAATGTTACTATTCTCGTAGAAAGTCTATCGAGCTATATTGTAGTTTACATCTTGGAATAAAATGTTTAAGTTACATAAAAATAACAACTGAAACTTTCTCCAAACCATAAATCAAATTATTTAATATTTCATTGTATAGACAACGGCACGAGTACAGAATTATAGTATCTCGCAAACATTTTTGAGAGTAAGTGCCCTAAACGAACAAGCCATTCAATTGCTTATTTTAATTTTCTTAGATTTATTCACATATATTTATAATAATTGTAAATATAATTGTAAAAATAATAATAAATGAACATTTAAAACTATGATAATGTAGAAGATGTACTGAACTACATTTTAAGTATACAATTTTCAAGAAAATGGATACATTATTAACTTTGCTAAAAGGGCATATATTGAACGATCACTTTTAGAAACAGGAAAGTCGGTGATAATGGAGAAGTTACTGCTCAACATGACATCTAAGTAAGCCACTTTCACTGAGAACACGATATGTTTTGAGTTTGTGATGCGAAAGGTTTTTCGCATGAACACAATGAACTGACTTGTGTCCAGCCAATGAAGGGATTTTTCAATTTGGTCAATAACAATCAGAAAGTAATCTCAAGTTAGTGAAATTGAATTCCTTATTATTATATAATTTACGTTTGCATTGTTACAGATTTAAGGTAAACTGGAAGGGATGTAAAACTTGATTTCTTACTAATTCGTAAATACACACGTGACAAATAATTAAATATGATTCGTTTACTGATAAATCATATTTTTGTTAGATCAAGGAATATTCCAAATTAAAAATGTAACGATATATTGCGAAGATAATTTGAATTAACACCTTTTAAAGAAACGTGCTTCCATAAGTGTTTAGTTTGAAATTTCAGAAGATAAAATAATATATGTCCACGATTTTCTATCACAAATGTATTAATCTATTATTCTATTCGCCAGCGATTTGAATATTCCTCTCATTTTCTATACGATACGTTCTACCGCGTTTGACGTTCAATAATTCAGCTTGTGTTGTGTAAGAGGATGGAGTAAGTAATATCGGCCAGCAAATTTCACATGACAGCAAGCCTACATTTCTAGGCAGGAGACTATGCTAAAGAATTCCGGCATATCTTTCCTTAAAAGTATTTTTCATTCCGTCATGCTAAATACAACTAATAGTTCTCCAATTCGAAAAAATGTTATCGGAATATGGCGCTTAAATGTCACCTTAAATTAAAAAAAGAACGTATTAGGACAGCTACGCTCTGAAAGGGAGTTTTGCCAACAAATTCGTTAAGTTATATGGTTTTACGTAACTGAATGAAATTTTGCACTTGGTTTGAGAGAAGTAGGCCTACCTTTGAGCAGGAGCACGAAGTTCTTCTTGTCGTCTGAGCCCTTGGGGTACTCCCAATCCATGTCGAGGCCGTCGAAGCCGCGCTGGCGCAGGAAGGGTATGGCGCTGTAGATGAACGTCTGGCGGGAGTAGCGGGTAGCAGACATCGTCTTGAACTTCTGGGTGCCGAAGGACCAGCCACCTGCATTCACAGTCAAAAGATATGAGTTCCTACTTTTCATCAATCGGAAATTAAACGTTTTTGAATTTATTTTAACAATCCTCAAGTCAATCACACGCATAATCACGATTGTGTGATTGCCCTAAAATTGTAGTCGAAACAAATACACGAGTGGGCGAGCAAGGTGGGACCTCGTTTCGTGGAGAGAAGCGTCAGGTCGTTGAAACTGTTGATGCAGACCCCGCCTTCTGGGTACGAACGTATAAGACCATGAGACCTTGAGACAGGACTCTTCTCTGCATCTCCTCGCGCTCTTGAGGCGAGCCGTCGCGCTGCCTCAAGTGTGGGGCCACAACATTTGACAGCCACGTCAAGTAAGAGAGCATTATCTTCTGGCCATACCAGCTGCACCTCCTTTCTCTTCCCCCATTTCCGTCCAATAGAACGAACACGAAAACAAACGACTTGGGTATATGATAGTTTAAATCATAAACACTACTTCAAGAAAATGATTAACTTACTAGATCGAAAACATGCTCGTGTTTCTGCTTTTCATACCAGTTGTAGTGACATAGTAAAATCAATTCTCTCTGGATTGATTTCTTTAAATTATATTTACATTTGTGAACTGTAATATTATTTTATAATTTAGTAACTTATAATAATTTCTTTTCAAAAATACTTCAAAACGAGCAGATATTTATTAATGGAAATTTATAATTTAGGAAAGAATATAGAATCGTAATATTTACTTGAAATTACCTCCGTAAGATTAAAATCGCAACAAAGGAAAATTACTATCATTATCCTAATAAATTATCAACGCTCCAGATCGAATGTCAAGATCCTCAGCAAACAAATTAGTTAACTGAACCCATTTCTAGGAAACACTGAAATATAAAATACCACTGTAATATAATATTATTATTTCCGACGCTACAAGGAAAATCGTTCACTTCCTTAGAACGTTAGCTTAAAGGAAGTTTGAGTAGGTTTCGCTTCAACGAGTAAGAAAATGAGAATCACCGATGCATAAAAGATCTCGCAAGGGGAGCAAATATTTGCGACCGCTATCAACGCCTGAACGAAAGAGGCAAGCTGGGCTTTATTGTATGTGAGGGAATGGAGGTCTGCTTTCACGAATGGCATCTCTTCAATAGTTCCGCCTCGGTGGATTACGTGTTTTGTCGGCAGGCGAGCCAGGGATTCATGATGTCCCTGGCCCCACCGCTTACGGGCTTCGCTTACTGTATCTCAGAGTTTACTCTGTTGGAAAAGAATGTCGCGGAGTTCTAATATTCTTTATTTATTTTTTTCCATTCGTGTGCATGCTCTATCAAAAAATTGCTTCATAAGTTTCTGATTGTGCCAATTGCAAGTCTTTGTTTCATAACTTTGGTCATTTACAGTGAAGGGGCGTCTTCCTTCAACTGTTCAAGTACTATGTTATTGGAGCCTCTAACGAGTTTTAGTAGGTATTTCATAATTTAATCAGACACAATACATATATTTTATATTCGTAATGCATCCAAATTACATTGTCTTCACAAATTATTCCTAAAATTCATAAATGTTAATTAACTATACAGAAGATACATTTATCTGGTCTCAAAAAATGCATTTTACAAAATTAAAATTTCCACATACATTTACTTTTGTGTTAGTGAAAGTTTCATATCGATAACTGGATTAGTTTTCGAATTATAATGAAAACATTTACTTCCGAATCGGTGAATTCCATTACGTTCTCACTGTCCACGTTCTTTTTAAATCTCATTTTCCCAAAACGTACATTCAAAATTTGGCTTATCAGGTAACATTTTAGCTAATACATGGATTTCTTTCTAATTAGTTTTATTGGATGTACATGGTTATTTAGTCCTCGTTGCTCACACAGTACCCGGTGATAGAGCTCACCGAGTTATTCATGAGTGCAAAAAGAAACACTGTAAACCCTATTCAAACATTTTGAAATAAAAAATTGTCTGTTATTGGTAATTGTTAAAAAAATGGCCGATATATTACATAGAACATTGTTGCCTATTGCTATTATTGCCTACTAATCTAACGGATATGAAAGGAAAGAGAAAAAACTATTGTTTAAGTGTTATGTAGAATAGTTTATCATACTTGCGTATACAGCCAAAAATTCGCACTTTCACCTCGTGTAACAGTAACTCTACAAGCGTTCAAAATGACCTCGTCCTGCGTGAATGCAAGGTTGGCATCTGAGCCGCAGGCCTTCGTGACGCGCAAGACTTCCCCTACTGTACCTTTAGTTCTGCCTGCGCGCTTTCAACGCTCCTCGACTTCGGTGGCACAAACGCGGTCTTTCATTAACTCCCAGCTCCAAAGCGTTGGAAGCACCTGCGTTATAAAATTCAGATAGTGAATGCCTCTTAAACGCTCGGGTAAGAATTGATGCTCGTGGTGAGCTACACTACGTGGAACATGCGGATTTCCTCGTTCCTCACATCCAAATTGTGCAAATTTATTGTGCCACTTCTTGTAAAACACGCTGCATCTGACCAAAGAACGAAAAGTCCTTGTTTTGTGCTCGGGAAATGCCTAGAAAATTGAAAATGATGTAAGTCTTTACTGCGCAAATGTTGCACCAACTGAAACTGAAGAAGTCGTAATCCCTCCGCATGAATTGTTCGCCAGACGAGGCTCTGTGATGCTTTGACCGCGAGCGCCTTTTGCCTTGAGCTCGCTTCGGGTTTCTCTGTTAGTATTACGAACTAAGGTTTCCAGAGAAGTGGCGAGCTCTTTAATGCGAGGTCAAGACTCTCGCGCACTTGCCGTAGCCCGTTACATGAGCACAAGCGCATAGTTCAACATTTAAAATTAATTATTTACAAAACTGCACGACGAAAAGTATCCAATTTTGGCAAATTCAGTCTGTACATTACAGATAGGATAAGATCCATGCGAATTAGTAACCAACCCCTGTTATATTTTTATATCACATTTATTCCTTTCTTCCTCGACTTACTATATTACTATTATTTTCTTGAGGCATTATTTCGTATTTTCCTTTATTAACGTTTGTATACACTCTTGTAATTCTTTTTTGTTTTGATCTATTTTGTTTTTCATGAAAATATTTATTATATAATAAATTTATTATATAATAAATGTAATCGTACAAAATTTTTCGCTCTTTATTAATCATTTTACCATATCTTTCCTTTCTCAAGTTTATTTCAAAATTTCAAAATTTATATTTACAAGAATAAATTGTTACATTAGTTTCTTATCTATTTGTTATTAAACGTCAACCACTGATGGTGTCATGGTCCTTTGATGAAAGTAGAGTATTAGCTAAGTGTTTTGATGACTCTAAAAGCACGCGTTTAAATTGATTTTCAATGTGTTACTTCAAACCTTTGTTTTTATCATTCTTTGTAATCTCTTGGTAAAGTAGGGAAGTAGAAAAAGAGTTTTAGTTTTGTGGCCCGCCAATGAATATTTCTTCTGTAAATAAATGCGCTGATCGTTCTCAATGAAAATAATGTTCCTATTTCATTGCTCTTCCCTTTCTCGACAAAGGTTTTGAAAACTGTTTTTATTGACACACATAGCGTGGATAGCTGATGTATACTATGCTATTTGTTGCTTATTGCTTCTACGTTGTATTTTAGTTTCAGTGGCTAACACTGACGATCAATTAATATTCCAATAAACGATTGGTAAAACTACCATGATTTCGTTCAATTTTGAGATGCTTTTAAGACTATTGAGTGGCCTTTCTTCGTATTTAGCAAATTTTCCTAGTTACTTTTATGAAACTATTAGGCATATCAACCGTCATATACTTACGGGTTATTACAGATTAAAATGAGTACATATTCGTAATTCAGTATTAGTATTCAGTATCGCTTTTCCTAACACGTAGTTCGTAATTCTTAGTTCGCAATTCCTCGTTCGTAATTCCTAGTTCGTAATTTAGTATTTCCTAATTAATCTGTGGCTCAATGATTTAGAAAAATTGATATTTCTTCTTGTTAGTACCACCAAATTATCTTCCACGAGGTGGATATCAGATTTATTTTCAACATTTCTTTCGTACGTCGATATCTGTTTTTCATTTTCAGTTGGATTCAAAGAATTCGAAAGTGTACTTCCCGAAGAGAGAAACTTTCTCGTATATTTTGGAGGATTTGGGAGAACATTTGAGAACTCTCAAACTAGTTTTCGTTTCTACAGACCGGCTGACTTTAGGCATTTTACGAACTTCCGACAGATTGATTAAAGCAAAGATTTATATTGTCACAAAAGGTAGTAGAGAAGTAAAACACGGTATGATTGGTAATTATTCTTCAGCCTACATATGGATAAAAGAGTTTTTTGAGTCATAGAAACAACAAAAGATAAAAGAAATTTATTCTTTCCAAATTTCAATAAGATCCAGTAGCAGAAAAAAACACTTTCAAATATACTACTGCCCGTCTGCTTGTTTTCATGAAACCGACCAATAATTGCCTTTGCTCCGGTAGACGCGAAATAACAGCTCCCAATTACAGGAAACATTATTGACCGCCGACTTGCATAACGCAGAACTAAGGGAGGCGGAACACCCTCCGTTAATTGGAGGCTTCCTCAAACTATGCGGCGTGGCGTCGTGACTGCGCCCTGGCGGTCGTTGCCGGAACTCGGTGCGATGCCGTTTATCACGTTTGCGGATTGCGAGATGGCCCGCCCTGGCCGATCAGCTTGCGACTCAGTTACTGCGATGTTTACCACGAACGATCCAAGAACTTTACGTATTATGCGAGAGGTCGGCTTGGTATTTTAGAAATAATAGGATAACTGGTTTTGTAAAGTAGTGATTTGCACTGTACTTTCAATAGCAAGTTCATTCTATGTTGTGAGAAATAATACCCAAGAACCGTAATAGTCGCCTGCAAAGGCAAATCCTCATGCTATAATTTATTTACACGTATTTGCTTTGATGTTGTAATATATTAAACACGTCGAAGGTGCTGCAACTCAAAATATATGGCAAGAGTAGTATTGAGAGCTTCAACGAGAAAGAAAGTGCACCAGGAAACGCAATGACCGGTTCGGAGTGACTGTTCTGGCATTTCAGAGATTTTCATTTGGCGCAGAGAGACGCTCTTTTAGGGCGCTTCGTGGAGCGGTGCCGGCGCAGCGCAAACGCGCGCCCGCGCGACGGCCGGCGCCGGGCGACGTTCCCGCGAGCGCCTCGGGCGGGAGGCTTTCTGGCACCGACCCCATTTTGGGCGGATCGCCCCTTTTCATTAGGAATGCATGTCGAGAGACATAATAATTCATGCTATTGTCTCTACTTTTATTCTTAAATCAATTTATTTCATTTTATTTGTCGTTTTGCGAAAGTCCAAGTATCAAAAAACAGAGTATTGTATTTCTTCGACGTTAATCAATTTAAAATACTGAACTTGGCTTCTCTACAAATGTTTATATTGGTTGCGACGGAAACTGTGTGCCTTCCCAGACTTCTAAACTCATTGTCGAATTAACACACAGTACAGCATTTGACAATACTTAAGTTTGGTTCTGAAATACTTCCGCTGGTAAAAAAATGCAGAAACTGCGTTGCAAATCACCCACACTTTTCCCCTTTTCCCAAAAACTACCGACACGAGTGCAGTGTATTTTTAAAAGATATCTAGGAGTTCTTGAAAGATAATTATAACAAAATGGCAACATTTGTTGAAAACCTATTTTACAAATCATAATCACACAAAATTATATTATTATTATTATTATTATTATTATTATTATTATTATTATTATTATTATTATTATTATTACAAACGTAAATGTTTTACCTCAATGCACTTTGTACTTTTTACTTGCAGTTTCCCTTTAATTGAACAAAAAAAAATTTTGTCATATTTTAACGCGATTCCCCGTGTTTCACGTGACCTGCCAATTGATTTATTCAAGGCAGCAAGCATCGTTTCAGCACAGCCTATTACTGATTAGAAGCGCCAGGAAGGCGGTAGAGCTCAGCGCTGCGCTATGGTTCATAAAAAGTGAGCAGCGCGGGAGAGGGGCGCCATAAAGTTGCATCGGCGCCCGCGCGCGGTTCCTTTCATAAAGCGCCAAGGACGACGTGCGGGTCACTCCGCTACACTCCCCACACTTTACCTCGATAGATTCTTTTCATTTATTTCATTTTATTGTCATTTTAGTTATTTTAGGCAATTTGGTTATTTTATTTAATTTAGTAATTCAGTTCTAGTTATTTTAGTTTGTTGTTCATTTATTTAACTATTTATGTATCCATCGAACTTGGAAGCAATTCCTCAAAATACATAGTATTCAAATTTCAGGAATTTATGAAAGTAAATTTCAATACGTAGTGCTCCGAAGTTTTCCCAATATGTCATTTTGCACTAGTATATTTTTTGCTCTAGAGATTGTTTAGAGAGATTATGAAATATAATATTGAGGAATGACAAATGATATAAATAAGTTATAGATTAATTAAATAAAACAAGTATTTAATTAACAAATCTGATGTAATAATGTTTCTAATTATTATATATTACCATTTTTTCTGCAGAATCTTTTATCAAATAATTTCATTGATTTGACGAATCAACGTGTCAGAACATTAACTTCAAAGTGCAAGTATGAAATGTGTAATCTGTTACAAAGATATCCTACGAATCATGTATTTGCAAAATTTTCACTTGCATTTGGGCATATATTTTATTGAAGAAAACTGAAAACATAATATATCAATGACATGATTATTTGAATTGAAAATATGAAGTAGTTACTGATTAGCGGTAAAATGAGCTTACACAAACGGATGTGTAATTAATTTTCATGTAATTTCTTATTTGGTCGTATGTTATTCAGTCTTATAAAGAACTGAATCTTTTGCAAGAACATTTCGAAACTTTTTGTGCCTTTTAATCTGCTCGCTGTAGCTCAAGTAATTCGAAGAGAAGGTTTGTCATAATTTTTTGACTGCGGAACGTTTGTTTTAACAGTTGCTTCTAAACAACCTCCAATACAACTTTTTTCTTCAGTTTCTTTCTAAAATAATTCCAACGGCCATTTCAATATCATTTTACCCTTCAACATTTAGATTTATAAACATTTTACTAAGAAACTTATAAGTCTAACAGTTAGTTAAGACTCGTGAGCTACAGCAGGCAGAATAAACACAACTATCAATCTTCCATACTTCATCACGGAAGGGTTATAATAACACGTGTTACTTTAATCACTCTTCAGAAACTGATATTAAAGAGTTCACTTAACTGAGTATAATTAAAAATTTCTAATATTTCTCATAATGTTATTAAGTTAATTTCCTGTAATTTTCCGGGAGGCATCCACGAATTCCTAGATGAACGCTCACGTCCCAGTCGTCCGCCGGGGTCTCTGCGCTTAGCCCGGCGCCCCGCCCGCGCGGCTAATGGCGCATTTGCGTCCGTAATTGCACGCGACGCCAGGCGACCCTCTGCGCGGGAGCGACCAGGGCCGACGCCGTGAGTAACGAACCGCACCTTAGGTAACAACTTCGTTTTCCTAATCGTTTGTGTTGCAAATGCGCCGGCTTTCGTGAGCCCCTACATTCATTCAGACGCGATAGCTCCTTGTGAGGTTCTCATTTGCTGAAGGTCGTGCGGGACAATTAAAGATCACACAGGATCCGTTTTGGGACAGGAATTCAGAATGTATCTCCCTCTTTTGAGGACCCTTTAGGTCCGGGAATAACAGAATGAAAATTTTTAACTAATTGCTTTGAACACATGTTGTTATGTAATTAATTTGCGAGGTTTTTATCGTAAATTTAATGCGTTTACCAGAAAATTTTGTAACACACAATCATTTAAAAAAATATATAATTAACGCCAGAAATAAGTGAACAAGCAAAATACTATTCTGAGGTGATCAAAAACAATTTCTTTAAAATTTTAAAAATTTTGAGGAACGAGTTTAATAAATACCAAAATATTGCTTAATTTACAAAAAAAAAACATTGAATTTAGAAATACTAATGATTTGTACTTTCTCGCCTTACGAATTCTTCGTGGGAAGAGAAAGTTATGTAATCGTGCGCCAGGAAACGCAGAAATTTTACAAGAATCCTTTTTTGTAGCCAGTCAAGTAGCCAAAATCCATGTGCTTGTTGGTTCTTGATACCGAAAAATCGATTGGCTGGCAAAACATCCTGTCCCTTTGTCCGTCTGAGGTCAACGATAGCACCTAAACCGTTCAGTTGATTTTCTTCAAAATTGATATTCCCTGATTGATTAGAACGAACTGTATGCTTTGTTAGTTTCCAACGGATATTTTGATTGTGGAAGAGATTTTACATGAATCGGGCATTCAATTTTGTGTGACGGGGTGGTATAAGTGCCGGCACGTTATCTCTGAGGATCTAAGTTCGAGTCTCGGAAGAGAAAAATAATTTGCTTTTTGAAAACAGGTTTGCTGGTTTATATAGAAGTATAATGTTTCGAAGGATTTTGAAACAATGCGAGAAAGTAAGTGCTTTGGTAGCACCACTAGTTTAAAAAGTATTTGGGAGAGGTATATTATATACAATATTAAAAGTATTAAAAATACGTGTTATTAATACCTTTCTGTGATGAAGTAAACAAGATTCATAGTTGTGTAGATATCACATTCATTACAGTGCTGATATAATTATATAAACTCGATATTCAAAAATCTAATCAATCGATAAAATAGTATGGAAGATTATCGGCAACAGCTTCTCTTTAAAACTGAAGATTCTAACTCGCTCTCTTGTTCAGAGAAAAAGTAGCTCTCGCTCTTGGTTCACTTACCGATAGCGAGCAGCACTTGCAGACGTGGGTTGGCCTTTTTGAGCGCCATGATGCGATCGTACAGTCCAGTCTTGCCATCCTTGGTCTCGTCATTGCTCTCGAAGGAGGAGAGCTTGCCCTTTTTGAGCCAGCCGAAGGCGTAGATGATGTGCGTGCACAGATCGGGTTGGATATCCTCGGGCAGGAACTTGCCATGCTTCGTGCGGTATTGCGACCAATTGGTGTAGTAGCACACAATCTGACGGGAAATCACTTGGATCAATACATGAGGGCATTCGAACAAAATTCAAAAGTGATTTTTGGCAAAATGCAAAATAGAAAAAAACTCTACCTTTCTAAATATAGACGTTAATGATAAAAAATGACTAGTGGCAATGTTAAACAAGGCCGGTTTTGTGCATGAATGTATATGGAAAACATCAGAATTACCAATAGCACAGAAATTATTTTATTACAATTTTTAGAAGAGAAAGAGGTATGTGCGATTAAATTTATATCTTGAAAACACAGAGTGGTCGAGTTCATTTTTATTGCGTACAAAAAATCTAAAATTTTATATCACAGACTTATGAAGTTTTAATTGTCATTGGACAAGTTTTTTTCACGTTTCTCTCAGATGCGTGTGGAAATGTATCTGCCACGTGCATAAAAATATAATCCCGGAAGCTGTTGCTTGTTGCTGTTTACTAGCTTATATGACTACGTAACAGCTTTACAATTGGAAATAAACATCTTGCAGAGAAAACATGTTTTTCTGATTGTCGGTTTACTTTCTATCTCCCTAAACATACGAGGTAACCGTGAGTATTTTACTTATGAGGCATCAAAGTATAATGTTCCTTAACTGTGATTGGACCGACAAAGGTGGCTAAGAGCATCGATTGAAGTCACTGCAGTGCCTCCGACCGGGACGTTTTAGAGTTCGAATCCCACCTATAGCATAAGTTTCGACACTATCTAGATAAATAGGTCGAGGTCAGAAGCTGCCTGAAGGAGAATTCTAGCTGTCGGCTGCTCAAACCGCTAGTTTTCCGTGCTTACTCGGATAAACACCAAGCCGATATCGGAGTACGCTAACAAACGGGCAGAGCGAGATCTTTGTTTCCTCTTCCTTATCCTATTCTCCTTGTCCTATCCCCTTACTAACACTAACTTACACTCACATGCACATCATTATTACACACGCCGCGAGGCCCGTCGGGAGCTTAGACCTTGCCCGGCTGGGGCTGTGCCCCCTGAAGGAAGATACCTGGTTGAGAGAAAAACGTGCAACCCAGGTTGTACTGTAGGTCGGCGTCGGATCTCACCATCCAGCGGTGGAAGATCTCCGCTATGTCATGAGGAAATATACACTCACTACTCTTACAGTATTGATCTTAGTAATTGAAACACCCGCAATCATTAATGGATGAATCAATTAATTGTGAATGACAGTACAATTTATGAGCTTATTTACCCTTTAAAAGTTTGTAAAAGTTTTGTAATTTTCTAAAAATATTTTATTTGTTGAAGCTCAAGCAAATATTGAGTAACTCTTTGAAATCTTCATTTAATGTCAAAAGTCATTCATATACAAATAATTGGGTCTTTTAATGGAGTAGCAAGGACTTAAATTTATTGTCAGAGTAACATTTACTAACGGTGTGCCAATAATTAGGGATTCAATTGAATTGCTAATGTTGATTGTTGTTTTCTAGATAGTGGAATAACGTTAACTTCAAATACCCGTGTCGCTCGAAAAGAGAGAGGAACTTCTGAATTACACAATTACAAGATAATATTAATGAATTTCATGAAATTTTAGATATAGGGGGAAAATCGTTGCATAATTGTCTTATTCTTTATGTTAATTTTTCTGTAGAAGTATTTCATTTTCGTCCTTGAAGACCGAACAATTTAGTAACAAATTATTAACATTCTTACTTTTTCACATTTTTCTTTGAAATAACACAGGAAGAATTTAATGTCGATCGTAGAATAATTTTTAATGCCAAATTATTTAAAACTGGTATGCAGGCAAGGCATTCGTTTGTGATCTTGACATTCTTATCGTTGCATTTAAGATTTCTTGATTTATTCATTACGATTGATTCAATCATCAGTGTTTCCGGGCGCATCAATTGCCAAAGTTAGAAGTTCTGTAAGTGTAGTGCATATTTGTCGTTGGATGTGGCTGCGATATTTTCCCGCTGGATGGCGAGATCCTACACGTCGGCTAGCGGGATTTTCCCCAATCACGTATCTTCCAGCGGCGGGGCACTCAGTCAGGAAAAACGCGTCTCCCGACATGTGAGGTTGTGTATTGCATGTAAGTGGGCGTGTATAGGATAAGGAAGGGGAGGGGAAAGTCCGTGGCTCATTTATTAGGTTATTGCTCCGACGCTGATAGGAGAAACTAGATAAAACTATCAATGAAAGCATTCGGCTGATAGAATTCTCATCCAGTCAACGGCTGAACTCTTCTCAGCTATCTAACTGAAGTCAAAATTCTGCCACTGTCTGGACTCGAACCTTCTGATTCACCGGTCAGTGGAATTGCAAAGGCAAAGTTATTAACGAGACATTTATTATGTACCTTCTTCGAAATCAAGATGTAAACATTCCGTTATGTCTCTAGAAAATCGAATTTCTCTACAATGTCTGCACACACATACTAACATTCACCACAAGGGTATTTTGTCACTTTATTCTTTGGGTGCAATGTGGTGTTTTTCAAAATATAGTTTAAACCGTTTTTCTCATTGATACAAACTTTTCAGAAAGTCACAAAATTAACAATTTCAGGAAATTAGTCGCGAAAATCAAGCACGAAAGGCAAACAAATAAGAAGTTCTTTCGTTATCGTCTGTTGTTCTTCACTTTCGCTCTCCGATCCCGCGGCGCCGGAAATCGATTCGTGAACGTGGGCTGATGAAGAACTTAATCTCGGCGTCGGGAGGTCACTCATTAACGAGAGAAGATTAAATGATACGACCTGTCGTGGGAAGCCGATCCGTGGACAGGAGACGACCCGGCGTCGGTAGCCGATTCGTGAACGGGGTCAGTTAAAAAGAGAATATCCTAAAGCGTTCACCTTGTAGCCACCGTCCTTATCCCCGGTAGAGGCAACGGCGGTGGAGCTGGAGCCGCCTCCCTTGCGGCTGGCGGCGGGGGTGAGTCGGTTCCTCACGCGGAACCGGTTCACGCTGGCCGACGTCTCCTGGTCTCCGCGGCTGCGCTTCGAAGAGGCCCCGCTGCCGGTGCTGCTGCTAGAGGACACTGAGGTGGAGGTGGTCGGGCGGCGTAGCCGGCGCCGAGCTGCAACAGCGAGGAGGAGAGGCTCTGTTCAGACACACGCTGTGGAACTCATTTCTTCCCATCGCGCCCAAAAATAACATTCAGGTGCAATGGCAGTTGCAGTTATCTTCAATTATTTCCTCTGAGTTTACATGTCTTATTTAGTGAATTGTATACCCTCAATAGACATATAAACATCCAAGACGAGACATATAAGTAAGTTTTGAAATTGAAAACTCCGAAATTCCGAAAGTAAAGTTGGCTCCTGTCCAGGCGATACTATGATTTGTGACAAATGAATTGTGGTGAATTATTGTGAATCATACTACGAAAGCATGGTTAATATTTTTATTAGGCAATAATAGGTACAAGTATTGAGACGAATTATGACTCAAATACCAAATACATGACTTGAGAGCTTATGAAACTGGATGAAACTGGTAGAAAAGAGATGTTACCATGTGAAACCAGTCAACAAAACAAATAACCGGAAATGAAAGTATAGGGAAACTATCTTTTGTCGTAAATGGAGTTTGTTGAGTGATACCTTATGTAATAAAGTTGCGGAAATAATTTACATCTAATTTATCGCTGATTGTAAACAGACATATTTCGGTATGTGAGATGCAGAAGGTATTTTGCATAGAACGTGTTTAGAATAAAAATACAATGCTAGAATTTTATAACGCAAGAAACATGAAAGTTGGTTTAATTTACACTCACAAGAAATGATTTTGAGAGGTTTTCAAATTTCAAATTTGTTCATTACAGAAAAAAGTATTAATTTAGGTTAATGCATTAATCTCATGTGCAATTCTAATATATCAATACCAATGTGAATTTAAATGAGAAGAACACATCGTTCGGTCAGTTACGGGTTTCTTCCAATCAAAATTCTATTGGTTCAAAAGGATCCTTCATACAATGTTCTTGATATCTACAATACAATTTTGAAAGAGTATAAATCATGCAACAGTTCACACATTGAGAGTTTGTTATGAGGTTCATGAAAGACAATTAAAATTGAAAGTTTAGGAAAATAAAACCCAGTCCATTGTGAATTGAAAATTACACACCGTTTTCATCTTGTATTGCCAACAAATTACCTAAAAGGTGTATCTGCGGAAAGGTAATTCTATTTTTACGAATGTTGAAAGCGCCCTGAGATAGTGATTCAATTACATTAATACTTTCATACTCACTTGTAATTCGTACTTTTCACGCGCGAAAAGTAAGGAGAAACACTCTTGTATTGTGATTCCTACGCGTATTTGTAAGGAATAACGTATTCATACCAAAAAGATCAAGACCGTTGCTCAACAAATTATATTCGTTGCTATTCTTTTTATTATCAGTCGTTTTCCACCCTCATTTTCCAACGCATATAAACCCTGTTCCTCATTTCCAAGTTATTGTCATCTTTGTGTCCATTAACTCACTACTTAAGAGACCCCCTTCTAACACTTACAATACTGTTAATTTCTCGCTATATCTATCTCCTAATCTAGTTTCACTCTTTACATCTTCACTTCCCTTCATTACATGATTAAACGAATTGTACACAACTAATAGGGTCTAAAATCTGTACCATATTACCTCGATAAAATTTCGACATTATTGTCTATCTAACATAATCATCGTTCGTAACTTACTAAATACATATTTGATCATGTTTAAGTTTGAGGAATAAATGATATGAATTTTATATAACATAATAGCATGTTAAGTGTGTGTTTGTTTTCATGCAAGTGTCTGTTCCACATCTCTTGTTTGATTTTACTCGAATTACTCATTCTGAAATTAAATACTCTTCCCCTCTCCAAGGTTCATCTGTCCACTTACCTGTGTAAGAAATCTGTAATCTTTCGTGAAATTCATATTTAGGAAAATCGAGACAGAACACTCCTCAACCGTGGAGAAGTCGAGTACTCCTTCAATAAGGCGAGCAATGTGCTTTCCAAACATCTGAGGAAATATTCCCCACGAACAAACATTGGGCGATCCAACGCGCATTCGATAGCAAAGGGTAGGCAGCTATTGCGTGAACTTTCACTGACGACGTAAACGTGCCGACCACCACAAAACACCTCCCTGGCCGCTGGTAGTCGTTCGGTTGTTTTCTTAACAAAGCAGTGAACCTCACTCTCCACTTGAGCAACGGCCGTTGGAGAAATCGGCGACTGGAAAAATACGCATTCCCTTCTGGTGGAGGCAGGGAAGGCGCATCGTGCCTCGAACAACAACCTCGAGACAGAAAAATGCAATCCTGCTAGGGGAGATGAGTCTGAAAGGTAAGTAGAGTTCCCTCTTGCCATCTCTCATTTTCTTCTGCAGGGTAGGAAGAGGGGTAGCAAAGGTGGCAAGAGAGGAACAGAGATGGTAGGAGGGAATAATAAATGACAAGAAGGAAGTAGAGATGGCAGGAAGGTAGCAGAATGGGCAAGATGGACATTGAAAGGAAACGCGTAAAGCTTTAGGGAAACGCGGGACACGGAACAAAAGGAGAAAAAAATAGCGGAGGTAGCGAGGGAAGAAGTTAGTTGGCGGGGACGAGGAGAGAAGCGACAGAGCTGCTCTTGCGAAGGCGGAGGAAGAAGCGCCCTGAGTGGGAGGAGCGTCGGGGGGGAGGGGGAGGGGGAGCGGGAGGAGAAGGGCTGTGCAGGCGGCGTGAGGTGAGCGCGGAGCGTGGGAGAAATCATAGTGCCCGTCGCTTGAGTGCTGAACAGCTGCCTTCGGTCAAACGCCCCGTTCTGCGATCTCGGAGGAGAGCATTAAACCACAGTAATTATTATAAATATCATCTTACTGGGATAAGGCGTTCGAATTCTCACAACCGTCCAATTGTGGTGCAAGATTATGAAACACAAATTCACCCGGATTACATCCAGTACAAATCCTTTTCGTTGAAAATCCTTTTTTACTTTTTGTTCTGCTCCTGTTTTGAAGTCTTTTGTAATGCTGCACATACTATTCTTATATGCATATAGTAACCCTTAGTCAATTTAATTGCTGTAAAACCAAACTTGAAAATTGAACTGCTTCCTTCTTTGTCAGTTTTCGTATTAGAGTATAGTATATATTTACCGTCAACTGTATGACTACAAATCAAGTATTTGTAGAAAGGGATGATTTATAAGCAATGAATTTAATTTTAGTATTGAAATCATTTTAAAGAACAGAGTAATATTTTATTTAATCAAAATCATGAATGTTCTATAATTGATTTTTGATTATGGCATTCTGGCCGCTGTTTAGGGCCTTTCTATTTCCTTTTACTATACATACATCTCATAGCAGAGTCCAGTCTTTGCAAGGCAATTAGATGTGTGTTTACTTGAAATGAACATACAATATCTGAAAACATAAGTGCAATATAAGTACCAACAAGAACTTCTAAAAATACGTCTAAAATAAAATAAAACATTAGGTTGATATTACAAGCGTGAAAAGATGACTGGCTCTATTAGCGAAGTATATGCATGCCGTAAACTGACTTCACGGGCTCATACCACGTAAGTATTGGGCCTAATCAAAAGTCGTTCGCCGAGTCCTTCGGGTTGAAGATTATCTGGCTAAGCGCGAGTCAATCGCTCCAGGAGCGCCAGCGCCGCGGCGCCTCGCAAAAGCCGAAGCGTGTTTTAAACCTAGCGACTGAACACTGACATCCAATCAAATATACTTATACATTAATATAATATAACTTAGAATTGCTTTGAAATAGTAGTAGTAATAATTATAATAAAAACAATAGAAGTAATAATTATAAATGTTTCTGGCTGCTATATATAGTACATACAACAAAACAAGGCAATATATTTTGAATTATAACGAGACAATATTTTACGAGAACTATATTTTATTTACAGTAATGTCAACATGAGTGAAGGGCAAACTGCCGAGATCAAACAATACGTGGAAGTTAGGTGTGGATCGCATATATACATATATATATATATATATATATAATTACTAATACATAATTATTTAAATTTCCGTAGCCTCCATACGTGGACATATTCATTCCAGTGTACCAGGCGGTGCGACGTCCTCCCAGCTGGAGTCGAGGGCCGAGCACCTAACGACTGCGATCTGCACAGTGGACGGCGCAGAGAGGCGTTGAGCGGTGTTGAGCGGCGTTGAGCTGATGTGGGGAAAAGGTAAGAGGTACTGAGGGCCACGCACTTCCTTCTCGCAGAAGAGATCGGGTTCGACACCCGCCTGCGCAGCACGAGAAAATGTTGCTCAGTTGCTCTCTTGAAACTTGCTCCGGACTCCGGAGGAATTTGGAAATCAGGGTACAAAGCGACTTTCGTTCACGGTTTCCGACTTGTCTTGTCGGATGGAGGGTGAAATATAGACAAACTAATGATATGTTGTTCTTGAAATGTGGAATAAAATAAGGTATTCATGTTGATTGCTGTTGGGTAGTTTCGATTCCTTGTGTGGTTTTTGTCCTTCGAATATCATCTAAATGAGAAAAAGAAATATTCCTGAAAGGAATATTTCATCTCAGAAGTTTAATATTCGAATTTCCAAACGATAC